ATCATATGGTGGTTTTGGGACGTTAAACCCCACATATCGCAGGTACTCGGCTGCTGACCCGCAGGTCGCGGGCTCGAATCCCGGCTGCGGCGGCTGCATTTCCGATTGAGGCGAAAATGTTGTAGGCCGTGTGCTCAGATTTGGGCGCACGTTAAAGAACGCCAGGTGGTCAAAATTTCCGGAGCCCTCCTCTACGGCGTCTCTCATAATCATATGGTGGTTTTGGGACGTTAAACCCCACATATCGCAGGTACTCGGCTGCTGACCCGCAGGTCGCGGGCTCGAATCCCGGCTGCGGCGGCTGCATTTCCGATTGAGGCGAAAATGTTGTAAGCCGTGTGCTCAGATTTGGGCGCACGTTAAAGAACGCCAGGTGGTCAAAATTTCCGGAGCCCTCCTCTACGGCGTCTCTCATAATCATATGGTGGTTTTGGGACGTTAAACCCCACATATCGCAGGTACTCGGCTGCTGACCCGCAGGTCGCGGGCTCGAATCCCGGCTGCGGTGGCTGCATTTCCGATTGAGGCGAAAATGTTGTAGGCCGTGTGCTCAAATTTGGGCGCACGTTAAAGAACCCCAGGTGGTCAAAATTTTTGGAGCCCTCCACTACGGCGTCTCATAATCATATGGTGGTTTTGGGACGTTAAACCCCACATATCGCAGGTACTCGGCTGCTGACCCGCAGGTCGCGGGCTCGAATCCCGGCTGCGGCGGCTGCATTTCCGATTGAGGCGAAAATGTTGTAGGCCGTGTGCTCAGATTTGGGCGCACGTTAAAGAACGCCAGGTGGTCAAAATTTCCGGAGCCCTCTACGGCGTCTCTCATAATCATATGGTGGTTTTGGGACGTTAAACCCCACGTATCGAAGGTACTCGGCTGCAAACCCGCACGTCGCGGGTTCGAATCCCGGCTGCGGTGGCTGCATTTCCGATTGAGGCGAAAATGTTGTAGGCCCGTGTGCTCAGATTTGGGCGCACGTTAAAGAACGCCAGGTGGTCAAAATTTCCGGAGCCCTCCTCTACGGCGTCTCTCATAATCATATGGTGGTTTTGGGACGTTAAACCCCACATATCGCAGGTACTCGGCTGCTGACCCGCAGGTCGCGGGCTCGAATCCCGGCTGCGGCGGCTGCATTTCCGATTGAGGCGAAAATGTTGTAAGCCGTGTGCTCAGATTTGGGCGCACGTTAAAGAACGCCAGGTGGTCAAAATTTCCGGAGCCCTCCTCTACGGCGTCTCTCATAATCATATGGTGGTTTTGGGACGTTAAACCCCACATATCGCAGGTACTCGGCTGCTGACCCGCAGGTCGCGGGCTCGAATCCCGGCTGCGGCGGCTGCATTTCCGATTGAGGCGAAAATGTTGTAGGCCGTGTGCTCAAATTTGGGCGCACGTTAAAGAACCCCAGGTGGTCAAAATTTTTGGAGCCCTCCACTACGGCGTCTCATAATCATATGGTGGTTTTGGGACGTTAAACCCCACATATCAATCATTACCTCTAAATAATCAACTGTCGGGCTAAGTAGTTGTGCATGATTGGCTTTCACATATTACCGCAAGCCAGGGGGCGGCACAACGGGTCCATGCCCACATTCCAACATTTTTTTTTCGCCATGGCATAAAGTTAAAAATTCACCATTTCAAAGGGATGCACTCCCCATCATCAAGTCCCCCTCCCCCACCCTCGAAAAAAAAAAATCGGGCTCCGCGCCTGTCGCAAGCATAACATCGTTCTAACGGCGCACGTATACGTCTGCGGAGTTTTTTTTTTTTTTCTTTTTGAGAGAAACTGGGGAAAACTTGTTTTTTTTCTATTTCCAATATAGTTAGGCTTGCTCCAATAATTTTTTCACCAGCGTGCCCATGTTTCCGAACTACGTCAGAATCTATGTATATAGCCCAATGTTGTCTGTATTCAGCGGTAAATTTGGATTTCACGGGGCTTCAATTAGCCCATAAAAAAGTAAATCGCACCGAATGAACGACATATTGTCACGGGGTCGTGACGTGCACGAATGGAGCACAATAAAGCTCTTGGTTCTTAATCATATGTGTGGTTTTACGTCCCAGAACCATGATATGGTTTTGAGGAACGGCATAGTGGAGGGTTCCGGAATTTGACACCATCTGGTGTTCTTTAATGAGCTCTGACATCGCACAGCACAGGAGCCTCAAGCATATTTGCCATCATCAAATGTGCCCCGATCGAACCCGCGACCTTGGGATCAGTAGCTGATCACCCTAGTCACGGTTCCACCGATGCGGACTGTTCTTAATAATAATAATAATAATAATATCTGGAGTTTTACGTGCCAAAATCGCAATATGATTATGAGCCACTCCCAAGGGAATGCATGGCTAGGATATTTTTAAATTGTCTGGAGTTCTTTAAGATGCAGTGACATCACATAGTACACGGGCCTTAGCCGCACAGCCGGAGTAGTCTCGTTTCATGTGTTCGTCGTATTGCTGGCGATAATATGTGTCACTCATTCATAAACCACTAATCCAGCTAAAGTAATGTGACCCGTTCCCGCAACCATGACAAAGCACTCATCAAAAACACGTGGAACTACCGGCGCAGATTGCTCACTACAGCTGAAGGAACCTTGGGAGAAACACTTGTGTCGCCGATAGCTAGCGCCACAACCGATGCGGCGGCTGCAAAAGGAACTAGTGTTCTCTCAGGCTATGGTGGCTAGAGCCATACTCAGGCCAAGAAAAGCATTCGGCGGGACGCACCAAAGGTGGAGATCGAGCGGCCGTGGCCGTGTAATGTGTGGGTATTTCCAAAGGATATGTTCTATATCCGCGTATTCATCTTTACATAGGATACAGCGCTTTCTTCTTTCCGGGCTCGCGCGTGCGGCATGACGAAAATAAAGGAACTATGCGGCCGCTTCTCAACGCACGCAACGTGGTAACCACGACCTTCTATATAAACTTCCGACCTGCTCATCGGCGCGCTCCCTGACGGCGGCGCGTGGGCCTGAAAATTGATGTATAGGGACCTAAAGTGCCACAAGATGCCGCCAGAACTTGCCCACATAGGACCTTACCCACATAGCAGACGATGCGCCGTCGTTTAGATTGTGCGCGCGGCAAAATCCCCACGCACTGGTGCGCGTGCGAGCGCGCGCGTGTGTGTGTGTGTGTGTGTGTGTGTGTGTGTGTGTGTGTGTGTGTGTGTGTGTGTGTGTGTGTGTGTGTGTGTGTGTGTGTGTGTGTGTGTGTGTGTGTGTGTGTGTGTGTGTGTGTGTGTGTGTGTGTGTGTGTGTGTGTGTGTGTGTGTGTTTCTGCTTTTAACGTGTGCGCTGACTGATTCACGGGGTTTAATATCCCGAGGCAACACGTTGGTCATAATGAGCACAGGAGTCGAGTGGAGTTGTTGTTGATCAGCCGATTTTTCGTCAGACAACCAACAGACGGTCGGGAACACGTAGGCTACAAAAACAAATAATATACTAAAAATGAAGTGGGGAATGCAACCGTTACATTTCTAACTTCGCTTCGCGGAGCCTCGCATCAGCTGTGGAAAAGTTATTCAGGGGTTGGCGGCACATCTTGAAACAGGAGTTTCCGCAGGGCACTCTGCCTTGCTGGACCCACGCTGTCGCCTGTCTTCAGGACCAACTCGTTGCTGCTGCAAGAACTTCTGTTTCAAAACACACCATTCCCACGCTGTACAGATGTGAAGGGTGTGTGAGGAGCGATAATTGTAACCGTCAGGGTCAAGCAAACTTAAGGCAACTTAAACGTGCGGCCCTTGCACATGTCAAAGCTTTAGCAACGTAGCGGCTTGCCGCTACAACGACAGTTCACGCCAACAGCATTTTCAAAACGTCCATCATCTAAATTCAGTCATCGCGATTACAGCTGCAGTTGAAACGTTGATGCGCCTTCAATAAAATTACCATGCATCTTGCATCGGCGGGGCCACCACGCTTTCTCATGACTGTTGGTACACCGTCTTGAGAATATGCTTCATATAAAAGCATTATGAGACAAACCCAACTTGATCAGTTGCTCTTCTTATTTTATCTATTCCGACTATCCACTTTGCAATATCACTTTCTTGTTTCACGAAATTTTATATCTACCAAAAAGTTTTACAGTTTGCAAAACTATGCTAACCAACACAGCAATACCTACTATGCATGCACTGTTTCTGATCAAAGGTTACATTTCCAAATTTCTTGGTTGACATCGTGCACATAATGCATCCTGAAGGTCTGTTTGGCAATAATTTCGAAAAACGAAATTTCAATGCTGTTTACGCATTCACTCTGGCAATTTACTAGACAAGTCCCATATATATTTCACTACTACACAAGTTCATAAATTCCATGCTTGGTGCTGAAGATACAAAAGTGGATTCCTCGGAAGCTATTGCTGGTACTTGTGCGAGCTTTCTTACTACAAGAAGCAGAATTAAGAAGCAAGTTCACGATTTAAACGAGTTTATTTCACTCGGCATACACTGAAACACCTGCATTTGGCAGGTACATTCCAGTTAACATTTCCAACATTGAATGTGCAGTCATTATCTGTGATGAAATAGACATTCAGATTTTTGTGGCAGGAAAAAGGCTGTTCTGAAGTGAAATTTGGTGTGAGAGGGGCAGATGGCAAAATATTTTATGCAACTCCTTGAGTTTAAAGCATTATTTAAAGGGGTGGCGACACAAAACTTTAGGCTATGTATAACAAGCCTGTCGTGGGTTTTCTCTGTATGCAAGGACACCCCACACGAAGGGGTGTCCTTGAAGAATCATTCCCATGGTCGCTGAACGATCGCAGCGACAGAGTTCCCTCTAGTTAATTTTTAGAAACTCTATGCGTCTGGGTATTTTGCCTAGTTTTGTAGTTGGCGCTGAAATTGCGACTGCAGCTCAAGTTGGCTCTTTATTCTATGCGCAGCCTATCTGCATATGCGTCTTTACTTGCGCATGTTATTTTTGTCTCTGTTTTGTAATTCCTAGTATGATTTGTTTCGCAGGAAAGCGCACACAGGAGACGGTGTGCATTGCCGTGTGCCTTACATTGATGGGCTACAACCTGTTCCAGCTGACGATGTACTTCCAGGCGTCTCGCTGGAGCACCATCATCGCCGCCGCACGTGAGAAAACTGTCCGCCACTCCGTCTCTTGACAACTTGACCTGGTTTGCGATTTCAAAATTTCACATACGGATCGTTTTCACTGCACCAGGATGTCTCCCTGGGTTGTTTAAGCGCTGATTAAAAAACATGCATGAACCAATATGTATATATATTGTTTTCAATGCCGAGGTGGGTTTTCGTCCATGGGAAAGGAAATGCCGGGATTACAGCACACAGCAAGTTGTTTTTTCAAGGATGTAGGAGTGGAAGCTCTCGCATTGCCTTACCGCGGCTACAGTGAAGATGCGCTTATCCACCCTCAGAAACCTGCTGTTTTCAGATTGTGCCCGCTTAATTAGGTACCGTAGTTTCTGACGACATTAACATATTGTCACAGCTAAAGGCCGGCCAAGAAGACAGAGGACGACGAAGTGATGAGCGGGGACAGCACCCACGGTTGCTCCGAGGATGATGTTGAAGCGGCTGCTCTTTTGTTCTGTTAATACAGACCTTGTTTTTCCTGGTTGCATCGTCGTCCTGTATCCTGTTATTTTCACGTCGCGACATTAGTGGAGATGCTGGACTTCTCCAACCGATGCTTGGGACAGCTCCGCGCCCTAGCACTTCGAGTCCGCCACCGCAATTCGTTCCTGAAGTGGATACTTCAGTCGCCAACAGCGAGGCCTTAGTCCTGAGGCGATCCCCCTCGAACTTCTCCAGCAACACACCGTGCCTGGAGAAATGGCTAATGGAGGGCCTTCACAGCTTACTGTTGAGCAGCCTCAGATTCCCGAGACCTTTCACGATGAGGTCTATGAAGACTGGTTAGCCCCAGTATGAGCGAGTCGCCAAGGCCAACCGCTGGCCCACTGAACAAAAGCTATCGCGCTTTTACTTTGCTTTGGCAGACAGCGCTCGTACATGGTACGAGAACCATGAGTCAACGCTGTCTTTGTGGGATGAATTTCGGCAGCAAATTCTCGGGACATTCGCGAACACCGACCGCCAGGATTCTGCTCTGCAGCTAATCGAGGCACGCATACAAAAACCAAACGAGAGTGTCGCCATGTTTGCGGAGGGCATGACCCGCCTATTTGGGCAGACTGACCCCAAGATGCTTGAAGGTAAAAAACTCCCGACATCTGATGAGGGGCGTTAAAGACGAGCTGTTTGCCTGTCTCTTATGCAACCCGCCAACAAGCGTAGCGGAATTTATCAAAGAGGCTACGACAATCAAGCGAGCACTGCTGCAACGGCGCTGATACTACAACCACCCAAACAACACATCGCCCAGCCTCTATGCTTTGACTGCCAGCAGTGAGTGTTCTCTGCGTGAGCTCATTCGTGAGGTCGTTCGGGAGGAGATCCGAAACCTCCTTGCGACTCCGCAAGAAAATACCGTGGCTTGCGTTGCAGAAGTTGTGCGGCAAGAACTCCGCCAGGCATTTTCGTTGCCCGAATCGCTTTCAGACCAGCGATCTGTAAGCTACGCACCGAGGGTCCGTCGACCCACTCCAGTGACTTACAACTCGACACCACTGGCTTATCGCAACGTCAGCCAAGGGCCTTACAACAAGCCGTGTGCCCCAAGTTTCAATCCGCCGCTGCAGTATCCACAGTCTAACTTACCTATGCAAACGTCGCCGACATCTGCATCTTAGTCGCAGAGAATGCCCACCAGTGGACCATTCATTCATAAGACGGACTTGTAGCGCACCGTCGACCATCGACCACTTTGCTTCTATTGCGGAGAAGCCGGCCACGTTTTCCGCATTTGCCCATACCGTGACCATAGACATCAGAACTTTCTACAAACCTCCCCTCATGCTTATTTCGATAACCGCCATGACAGCAGTGCAGGCCCGCAAGCGCAGCCACCTGATGTGCCGTATCGTCGACCCTGCTCTCCTTCACCTGCACCATAGCCTCCTTTATTTTCTGTGCCTGCGCTTTGCCGCCGGGATCAAAGGGAGCCGACCGTCAGGCTGAGTTCCCGCAATCACCACCAGGCGGCGCTGCCTTCCCAGAACCGGCAGAGCCTGTTCACTGACTCCGGTGCTACCGCCGGCACTGACGGGTGGGTCCTTCGTTGCGCGTTTGTAAGCGCGGCAAGCTTAAAAAACAAAAGTGTGATACCACCCCCGTGTGCCACTTAAATATTTAGGAGAGAACATATGCAAGAGAGAAAGAATAAGTACGCAAGATAGCACATTGAACAGAACACCATACCTTCAAGGAAACGGTAGAGAAACTTGTTTATTGCGTATTAATTCATTCGCAACCTGCGGAAACGAACAAGAGGGCGTCGATCGAAACGTTCCTCACACGCACACAGTCTGACGAGCTTTAGTACCCTCGTTGACACTGTTCACAAGCAGCAATCACAATTTTAGCACTTTTCGCGAAAGTGGCTTCACCTCGAAGACCCTCAAAAAGTCATGCTTGTCCGTCACTTTCATAGCAAAATTCGTGAAAATGGGACGGAAGAACTTTGTGAGCAGAACATCTAGGAGCTTTTTATGGTGCCCAGGCATTGTACACACGAGAAGATTGCGCTCGCGAAGTACATTGGCAGCGTTGTCCACGGCCTCTTTCATTTTTTTTTTCGGGTCATCACAGCCGAATGAACCACGGAGACTTGTGTGCGTAGGCCGCTGCACGAGACAGAAACGAGAGAAACCGTAAACTAACATTCCTGATTACTTAGCGAAATTCGCTGATAGGTGCGCGGAAAAGCCTCACGAGAAAGAAGCGCGAAAAATGATAGCAAAGCATGAAACCGGCCCTGCAAACACGAGGTGCAAACGACGTTGTTTGTTTACACGCACTCACTTATTGCCGCGTGTCATCTGTTCACGCAACACAATGAAGCAACAGTTAAATATCATACTTGCTGAAAGTACTACGCTGCGAAAATAGGTGCGCGGAAAAGTATTGCCAGAAAGAAGCGCGAAAACTGATAGCCGCGCTTGACAACGGCCGTGCAAACGCGGGGTACAAACGACGTTGTTTGTTACAATTATACTTGCAGTTACAATTATACTTGCTGAAAGTACTACGTACCGTTTTGGTCGTAAATAATTGGTGTTGCAAACGTATGCGACATGAACAAAGGTTTCCTGGAGATGCGTCGCCGCGGCTGAATGCGCCGACTCGATTCTGGGATGCGAGCGCCCCTGGCGGACAGCAGACGCAAAAAGAGAGGAGGATGCGGGAGGCGGCCGAACGGGCCCGGCGGACTGACTGCGCGGGCACAGAAAATAAAGGAGGCTATGCCTGCACCTAACTCGCCGCAGCAGCGCAGTTACGCCGAGGTGGCCCAGGGCAAATCCCCTAGCCCTCGTCAGGGAAACTAACAGCAGCGACCTTTGGGGGGAAGATTGCCGCCCGTCGAAATGCTATCACATCCTTGACATTTTCACTACGACGCGATACGATGGATGATACCACGGATTGTACGACAGACGATACCAGGGATGATACGACGCCACCAACATCAACGGAAATCGTAAGCGCCAATCTAGACATTTGTATAGACGGACGCCCAGTAAGAGCGCTGGTAGATACTGGCGCGGACTTCTCTATTATCAGCCGTAAACTTCCCGACTCTCTTAAGAAAGTCAGAACAATATGGACGGGCCCGAACATAAGAACCGCAGGGGGTCAATTGGTGATGCTGACGGGCAAATGTACTGCTCGAATTAATATCGGCAGTTCAGATTTCGCCGCTACTTTCGTAATTTTATCTGAGTGCTGCAAAGACCCGATTTTGGGCATGGACTTCCTGCGTGAATACAGCGCCGTTATCAACATTCCTGAGAAATCGGTTATGTTTTGGATAGTCCCAGGTCAAGTTTCGGATGGGACCTGTACAGACCAGCGACGTAAACCTTTGCGCGCCTTCGATGACGACGTGACCATCCTGCCACGGTCAAGTGCACTCGTGGCTGTTACGCGACACGTCGAGCAATTCTAAAACATCGCTGACCAAATTCCAACACTGCTATTCAGCCATGATTTGCCTATCGCAAGAGGCGTCGTGAGCATAAAATGTGGACAAATGCACGTCCTTGTTACGAACTTCAGCTCTGAACGCCGACATCTGACAAGGGGCATGGCAGTCGCGTCCATGGAAGAGCTCGCCAAGATGACAGACTGCCTAACTCTTGAGAAAAATAATTCAACTGATCTGCCCCCCGTACCTCTATCTGTTGATATTGGCCCAAGCTTGCTGCCAGCGCAGAAGCAAAGTATCGTGCTGCTTATTAACCAGTTTGAAGATTGTTTCTCTTAAACGTCCATCAAACGCCACTGACAAAACATCAAATTATAACGGACGACACGACCAGACCCACCAGGCAAAACCTGTACCGGGTAGCTCCACGAGAACGTGAAGCCATCGAAAACCAAGTGCGACAGATCCTTGAAGATGACGTTATTCAGTCGTCGAAAAGCTCTTGGGCTTCGCCATTTGTATTAGTGAAGAAAAAAGACGGCACCTTACGTTTCTGTGTGGATTACCGCAACCTGAATCAGGTGACAAAAAAAGACGTCTACCCACTTCTGCGTATCGACAATTCACTCGATCGACTACGGCATGCACATTATTTCTCGTCGATGTATTTAAGGAGTGGGTAATGGCAGATAGAAGTCAATGAAAGAGACCGGGAGAAGACAGCTTTCGTGACACCTGATGGCCTTTTTGAATTCAAAGTACTTCCATTTGGCTTGTGCTCAGCACCGGCAACCTTTCAGCGGCTAATGGATACCCTACTATCAGGCCTCAAGTGGAAGACATGCTTAGTGTATTTAGATGACGTCATCGTATTTTCTGCCACATTCGACGAACACGTCAGGCGACTGCACTCAGTATTTGAAGCTATCCGTTCCACCGGACTAGCACTACAAGCCAGAAAAATGCGACTTCGGCTTCAAAGAGCTTCTGTTCCTGCGACATTTTGTCAGCAGTGAAGGCGTGCGGCCTGACTCTGAAAAAATAGCTGCCGTTACGAATTTTC